TTTTTTTTAAATTTGATGTCTTATTTCAAACCATCCATATTTTTCTGAATTGTATTTAGAGTACAGAACAGGTGCTTTCTGAAAATTTTTTTAGAGTGTTTTTATCTTGTATTTTATGCGAACAAGTGTTTTGTCAGCTTTTTAAAATGTTTAGTCAAACCTAAACACAGAGAAATTTATAAAATTTTGTGGTTAAATTCACTGTGGATTGATTGTCCTTGTTCTTTTGCTGTTTTCCTGAATGCTGTTAGAATCATCTTCTTATGAAATTGGATGGCTGTTGTACATGATTCCATCCAACTTTCTGGCATTCTTAAATCTTTCATTAAGTATGGGCCTATATACCTGAATAGATTGCTCCGCGTTCCGTTATTTGGTCATGGCTCTGGGAGAAGCAGAGTTACTCCTGGTTAACCAGAAGTTTGCTGAGGTTCTTGCCTTGTCACTCTCATGTTTCTTTTAGGACATTCCCCCTTCTGAATTCATTTACCTTGATATAAAGGAACATCCTCCACTTCTGTCCCCAGTCTCATTTCACTACCTAGATTGTAATCTCAAGGTGATTCTGGCCACTCCAGGAAGCAGCTGGGGTGCTGGGGCAGGGGGAGGGGGTCATGCAGCCTGGCATGTCTCTCCAGAGTGGCTTGGACTATGCCTTCAGGTGGGCAGAGGACCCTGGCCTATCTCATTGTTCCCCCAAATGGGGTCATTCTCATACTTAAATATCATGATACAACCTCTGAGGGGCAGGTGAGCAATATATTTTAAAATTTAAAGTTCACATACTTTTTGACCCAGAAATTCTACTTTGGGGATTTTTTTCTACAGGTAAGACATGTAAAATTATCACTATTTATCATAGCCAAACCAGAGATCAACTTTAATTTCCGTGAATGGGATGTTTAACTAGGGTGCAGTGAAGTACTGTGAGGTAGATATGTTTTTGTGCTGATATGGAACAGTTTCTTAAGATATTGCTCAATGAAAATTGCAGTGCACAAAATGACATGTCTAGTGTTCTTCTGTTTGTGTTTTTAAAAGGCTTTATTCATATTTTGCAGGTTTATGCATACTCTGTTAGAGATAGCGCACGCACACAAAGCGGATGATAAGCGGTTGCCTCCAGCATAGGAAAGACTTACCTTTTCATGTAGATCTATTTGTTTTGCTTCGATACATTTTTTTTACCACTTGCATATATTACCATCTCCACTGAAGAAAATACAGTTTTAATTTGCCTACATTAAAATGTGTTATTAGGAAATGTAGGAGTTACATCGGTAGCTTCCCTGATCGTTTCCTCCAGAAGGTCCCTAGTGGATTTGTCAACAGCTTAACAGTGGACTAGACGGGATCTTGAGACTGATCCAGTGTGACAGTTCTAAGACCACTTCCCCTTGTAAACACTGCTTCCAGTCTATGCCTTCTATTTTTCCAAATTCATGTGGGAGTAGGTTAAGGAGGAATACACTTATTTTTCTTCACCCACACAATGCCTTTTTGTTTATTGGGCTGCCTCTCTAGCTTGGGTCAGTTTCACTAGGGACTGCAATGGTCGAGTGACATGGCGGGGAGAAAAGTACTGAGTTCTGAAGAAAATGTTATGTTACGTCTCTGCATCTTGTTCAGATGCTACTGGGAAGTTTCTTTCTGTAGGTGAGCGGAGCATTGATAGGCAGGTATGGAAATCAGTAGCACTTTCTGAAAATGAGGAAGCTTGGGAGGCTGTCTTCAATTTAGTTTGAATATAAAATAAATTAAAATGGACATGCTCAAGTTATGAGCTTTGCCTCATCAGTGCTATAAAAAGCGCTTTATCCGGGCTGTAATTTGACTCTCCTGTCTGTAATGTTACACAATATTCCTATGGTTACAAAGCCCTAATAAGTGGAAGCTAATCATTAGTTTGCTAAATGTGGTTCATGGAACAGTTCTCAACTCCCAGACCTGCCAACTGGTGCTTGTTTAGTGTCATGTTCGCTCTTCTTGGGTAGAAGTTGGTTTGTTCATTAGAAAAATGTACAGTAACATTTGTCTCACATCCAAGAACCATGCAGTATGGCAGCTTTCCATGTGTCTTGGTCATGGGGACGGGATAAGGTCACATTAAGCAAAGTGTTTTTGGTACATACACTTACGTGGAAGAAGCCATTAAGGGAATGTGAGATGACAAAGCAAGAAAAGAATAAAAGCTGCAGAGATTTTGGATACTTGGAAAAATCACACTTTGTTTCATTTTCAGAAATTTGCTGTGATAGAACTCCATGGAGTTTACTGTTGTGTGGGGCCCAGAAATAAAGTCATGCTCTCTCGTTTCTTGTTTGTTTCATGTGACATGACAGACTTCATTATTGCCCAGAGTCACCTGCAAACACATAAATGTGCTGCCTTTAGGAGCCAAACATTTTATGAGCGGGGCCCTTTCTTCTCTCTTGTCCCAATATGTGTCAGGGGAACGTACTAAGAGCAGGAGGTGCCAGCTGGATTTGTGCCTTCACCTGGGGATTAGAGCCTAAATCCTTAAGCTGTTCACGACTGTTTGGCCACCTCCTACTAGGAAGCAAGTGAGTTCTTTCCCAATGCCCACTTGTGACTCACTCCCCTTTCCAGCTGGAAGGCTGTTGGTCTTTTCTTCTTAGAGACTGGCCAGAAAGAGGCAGACAGTCCAGTGCCTGTCTCTACTTGCCTACTTATCATTTAGATCTCTTTGGCTTATAAAAAACAAACAAAAACAGAAAACCTGATTTCAACTGACTTAAGGAAGAAGGGCATTTATTGGCTCACAGGATTAAAAAGGCATGGTAAGATACACGGGCTCAAATCATGTTGCCAAGACCCACTTTTTGTGCTTCTCTCATCTCTGGCTTTGTCAGTCACACTCCCTCTCAGGCTCTGTGTTGGCACTTGGAGCAGTTGCCAGTCCTTCCAGGTGCAAGCCCAGCAGGAAAAGGCAGGTATCCATTCCTCTGTCTCCTAGAAAAGCTGTGAAGTTCACTCTGATTCAACTGACTTAGGTCTTGGACCATCCGTGAAGCAGGGCAGGGGTCCAGAGAGAAGCTGTGCTTTGAGCGGCCTGTCCTGAGTCTCACTCCCCACCCCTGAGAGGGCGGAGCCTCACCCGAGTAGATGTGAGGAAAGGGTAGCAGCAGCCCAACTGAAAATGAGGTGCTGTGCAGAAAGGAAAGGGAATGGGAGATGGGAGGCAAATCGCGAGTTTCATACGAGGAAGCTGGGTTTTCCCTCCAGCGCACTGAAAGTCTCCATGTCTTACCGCCTTGCCGGCAGTAAGATGGGGTTCTCCTGGGGTGTGAGGCAGGCCGTATTCCCCAACCTCTACTTCTTTTTCTTAGCTGTCTGTATGCAGCTCAGGAAGACTACAAGAACTTGTAGTCTTTTTAAAAATACTACTCACTTATTTTAAAATACACTTACTTGTTTAAAAGTCCACAGAAGAGACAAAAGACATAATCAGATTCGATTTAATTATGGTGGCTCTCATTGCATTTCTTGGCTTAAAGCAACTTTTAAAAGTACATAAAAGTAATGGAATCAGGTCATAGTTTAGAAAATATAACAACCATAATTCTACCAATACTAGGTAGGAATTTCGAGTTTGAAAGTAGCTTAAATCAAAAAGGAGTGGTGGGATTTACAGGAAGTTAAAGGTTACATCCACAGTTAAAGGCACACAAATCTAATGAAAACCAAAACAAAACAGAGGCACATTTGTTTCATATTCAGCCTGTGGATTACTACAGTTCTACCCTTGGGTTAAAGATCAAAAAGCGTGAGCCCACAGTCAAAACCCCGTCCACCACGCAGAGCTTCAATTCTGCTTTTTTATTGCCTTTTCCTTAAAAGATGAGCAGATAGTCAGATACCTGAGGTACCTTGACATAAAAGACAAAAATGAAAAAACAAAAATGGACAACCTGAAAAAAACATAAAACATCGAAAAGAAAACTACCATTAATATCCTTAGAGAGATAAGACAAGATTTTGCATCCTTGAAGCATGAGCAAGATGCTATTATAAATGGACTTTAAAAAACAAAACAGCTATTAGGGAAAAAATGTATAGCAGATAATAAGATAATAAGTTTAATGCTGCAAAGGTGAGAAAAGTTCCTGTAAAGCTCATGTGAATGCCCTTCCTCTGACTTGCCCACTGTGAACACTCTCTCCAAGTCTACATGTTGGGGTGTTCAATAAGGGAAAAGTTAAGAGATGCAGCAGAAAATAAATTATTGAAATTCAGAACTTCTCAGCAGTTTCTGGCTATAAAAAATTAAAAAGTAATGGAGTCAAGTCATAGTTGAGAAAACATAAAAACCATAATTCTATGACTCTGACCCAACGACTATTTTAATTTTAGAGTATTTCCTTTCAGCTTTTGTTCATGTGAATTTCTCATACACTTTTAAATCGTGATTTTTCTTTTTTTGCATATGACTTTAAAATGACCTGATAAATCCATATTGTTTGATAATCATCATTATCCTGTAAAGACAACATTATGTTTCATTAAGTAGATCTACTATAATTAACTTAATCATTTTGTATTATTGGACATTTAGGTTGTCTCTTTCTGAATGTTTTTCTACTAGTGTGTGTTAAACATATGGGTGATATGTAACTTTTCTCATGTCTCGCCTTATTTCCTAAGGATAGATTGTGTATGGTGAGATTACTAGTTTGAAGGTTGTACATAAACATTTTCATGACTTTTGATACCTATTGCCAAACTCCTTTTCAAAACTGCTGCATTTATTTCTACTACCTCCAGCAGGTTATGAGAAGATCCATTTCACTGCATTCTTGTAGCAATAGACATTTGGATTTTTTTAAACATTTTCCTAACTTAAGAGGTAAAAATTAGGTGTCATTTTGTTTTAATTTGGATTTCTTTGGTTAGTAGTGAGGCTGAATGCTTTTATGTGTGCTTGACTTTTTACCTGTGTTTTCTGCTCTGCTCCATACATTGTCTTTTCTTCATTTTAGACCCCAAAACAGCTTCTGAAACAGAAACGGATATCTGTGCGGAATGGGAGATCAAGACCATCACCAGTGCTTTGAAGACCTACCTAAGGTAGGGACTTTCCATTAGCAGGGCAGAGTGCCAGCTTGCTATCAGGCAATCAGGAAGAAAGCAGTTTTATTTTCAGCCTCCAAAGAGCGGTTGGGTAGGTGTTTGAGATGTGGAAACAGCTTATGTGTGGGTACAGTTAGCTCAGCTGGTCAGTCCGATTGTAAATCATCCATAGTTGATGGGTTGCCATTGTGCAGTGGTGCCGTGAGTGATTTAGGAAGCTTGTTCTTTATGAGAAGGTACTATGACAATTAACCTTTAACAGAACCTAAAATATGGTGTTTCCTCAAATCCCTGAATATTCTATTAAGAAAACAAGGAATCATCCCATTCTGCTGCGAATGTATTATTATGTACCTTATATATTTTGTTAGATTTGTTCATTGCAGACTGAATATATTGCTGACATTGATCCTTAAAAATGAGAATCTAATGGAACTCCTTCTAGACCCCTTCAGCTTAGATTGGAAAATATGACCTTATTCGGGAGGAGACTATTTTCCTGTAATAATATATGTGATATTCTTGCTACCTTCCTACATCTCCCTCAGTTATTAAGAATGTGGGTAGTTGTCTAGCTGCCTACATCTCAGTTTCAGGAATAGATTGAAATTTATGCTGGACTTGAAGAGTAGGCACATTATAGTTCTTTACTGTAGTTCTTATGCAGGAAGGTAGGGGTCTAGTCTTAAACAAAGAGAACTATCGTCATAGATTGCGTAAACATTTGTATAGGTTTTTTTGTGACAATTCCCTTGGCTCAAATGCAAAGTAGGAGAGCCACAAAAAGGGAATTGGTGGTGCAAGTTTTATTGGCTGTTGGGGAATTGATGGAAGGATCTTGAAGTCAAGAAGAAGATGTAATGCAAGTGATGAGTAAGAGTTCATTAGGGGATCCGATGAGAATGAAATAAAATCTGAGGAAGAATAATGTATAGTCTGTTGAGAAGCTTATTATTTGGGATATCAGAAAAACCTCAGGTTTATAGTTTAACATATTCGTTAAATATTTATACACTTAATACTCCCATTATAGTTCACACAAAATCATATTGTAGAGGTTTGCATTTAGCGCTTCTTTTTACATGTTGATAGTGATTTGCTAATAAACGTTAAGTCTAAAATAGCAGGTAAAATTTGATTGTTTCATGCCTAATGTTAGAGGTTCTAGCTCTTTGTCATTCTTGAGCAGAACTCCACAGTGATTTTGCCACAAAAACACCTAAAAAAGTCTCTCATAGTATTTACAGATGAACTGATCATAATAACAAGATGTTGAGAAGCTGAGAGTTTAAATACAGGTATTTGCAAATGTTTAGCTAGTTGCCTGTTTCTCAGACATACTTTAAAATGCCCTTGTTGATGGGTGAGTCACTGCCTAAAAAGGAAACCTCTTGGTTTGTGCTAGACTTTTTTGCATTAGTTATGGCAACAAAACAGTTGTATCCATTCCCTTAATAAGGAGAGAGAATGAAAATCTCAGGTAAAATCTCAGGACCTTTCGGAAGGGAAACTAAGTTGGACTAAGTTGAGTTGCTGTTGTTTCCCTGTGATCTTTGTCTTTGAGAAATGTAACACAGTTTGGCAGTCTCCCGGCTACTATTTAAAAAGAATATGATTGTTTTTATTAAGCTAACTAGTGTATACAACCTTTTATTCCAGAATGCTTCCAGGACCACTCATGATGTACCAGTTTCAAAGAAGTTTCATCAAAGCAGCAAGTAAGTTTTCTTTTTGTTGCAGCTTTAAGGGGAAGAGAATAGATTTTTCTATTTCAAAGAACAGTCAGTATCCCAAAATAAATATTATCTAACACTTCATATTCTGCATGTAAACTACCCACATACACACTCATGAGTTCAACACAGAATAAAAATGAAACCAAATCGGGATTGCTGAGGGCCTTGCTACTACGCTGAATTTACAGTGCAGGAGAGAAACTTCCGAAGTGTGTTTTTGGGGGTGGGGAGAGGACAGGAAAGCAACTTTGCCTTTCTAATTTTGATAACTGGAGTTCTAACTCCTTGGGTTTTTCCCAGCCCTTAAGTAACATTTTGCAGAATGAATCAAACTTTGCACATTACCTAAATTGAGCACTGAAAGTGTTTCCCTGAATGCAACACCATTTATGTAACTTCTCAGTCTGCTTTCTATCATGACTTCCATTTACAGCTTCTGATCATTCTTCAGCTATATCATCCAGGTCCCTAGCATCATGTTACTGGTATTAAAATACATAAGGATTAGGTGCAAGCTACCCTAAGTGTGCTGGAATCTGTCTACGTGGAGCATGCCTGCTGTAGGGGTAGTAAGATTCTCTATCAGATTTAATTCTGGCATGAAACCCCACAGTGCTATTACAGCCATAGCCTGTGCCTCTCCCTGCTTCCTTTAAATCTTCGGGTTTGTTTACCCCAGTAGCTACTACTGGCCTGTTTGAGCAGCAAGTAATGTTCTGATGGCTATATCTACTCATAGGTTTCCCCTTCAAACATGGAGGAGAAAGCCATGGGAAAAAGCTAGGAGTGAAGATAGTGTTTATGTAATTTCTTTCCCAGACAAATTCCAAACCCATAGCAACCATTTTCTAATTAAATCTCACATCAGTCCTATAAATAGGTATGGACTACCATCCTTCTACTTCCCAGAAAATTGGAGCCACTTACCCAAGTTCAACCAAGAGAACACGGCAGGCCATGATTTAGGTTACAAGTTGGCAGAAGGATTCACATATTTACATGCCATTTCTTTCTTCTCTGTCAGGCCGGCTGTCACACATGGTTTGAGAATAACTGGACATTGCCTTTGATTTCTTTGACTCTGTCTTGAGGCATTTTGCTATTTGAGACTCTTGCAATGTTATTCATGTATGATTTGTTTATTACTTGCTGAGTGCATAAAGTTCCTTCTTTCCTTGAAATGAAGCCGTCACTCTAGGGAGTCAGCTGCTTCCAAGTTTGTTCCTGCTCTGCGTGTGCAGTTGACTGGCTCCATTTCATCACGTCATCATTTTGGCTTGATTTTTTCGATGGCCTTTTTTTTTTTTAATGAACTCTGTTACAGAAAGCACCATTAAAAGCACTTGTAGATCTAGTCATTATAGTCATGAGTACACAGAACAGGATCTTAACCCTTTGAGAACCCTCAGTCTGTCCGTGTCCAACCTTTGTTTTCCTTTGATTTTGTCTTGTAAACTGATTTAGCTGTGACACTGATCAAATGTTACCTTCCTCCTACTTTTGCAGAGCTGGAGAATCAGGAGTCTCGGGTCTCTGAAATCCACAGCCTTGTTCATCGGCTCCCAGAGAAAAACAGGCAGATGTTACAGCTGCTCATGAACCACTTGGCTAAGTAGGTTTAAGACTGATTGCTGGCCCTTTTCTCACACCTAGAAAGTTCATATCTTAGCACTAAAGCTAGTCTCAGTTCTGCTTATGTTTGCCTCTCCCACTGTTGCATCAGGTATGCTAGAGGCTTAGGAAAGAAATGTGTGAAATGTTAACTGCAGTGGATAATAGCAGCAAATGCCAGATGGTCTTTGCAAAGTGGGCTGGGAAAGTGCGCCATGCAACCAGGCTGCCAGACAGAGTTTTCAGAGGTTTTTTGCTCTTGCGATGACCCAGGAAAAACAGGAGTATGCTATTTATGATACCAGGTCGCAATGCAGAGCTTTCTGGAGTTATATGTTCTTGTGACAATCAAGGGTGAACAGGAATATGCTGTGAGTTTATAGACCTTGGATTTAAAGTAAAGAGGCCTGGATTCCAGAGTTCCCTCTGTTTTTTAACAAGCCAATTAACCAGCCCTAGACAAACTACTGACCTCTCGATTCCTTAATTTCTCTATCTGTCAAATATGGTTAGTAGGCTTCCTTTCATCTACAGTGTTATTGTTTTTTTTAAGTTACATGTATTAATTTCTTTGAAGAAATATAGGGAATAAAGGAATAATACCTACTTGTCCTTTAAGATCATCTAAGCATTCAGTGGGGGCCTGGTTTTCCTGCTAGGAATATTTATATTCTTGGAATGGTTTTGAATTTTTGTGTGTTTACTTTCCTTGACCCTTTTCAGAATGGCCTTACTGCCTTCCCTTGTATCAGTTATTGCATGTCTGTATGTTCTGACCTGCCGTTGACTGGCGCATGTTCTTGATTGGAGACTGGAACATAAGAAAAGAGAGTCTAACAGCTAACCTAAATTATTAAGCTCCGGATTCCACTGAACTAATGTGTTGTAGATTTGGACTTTTCCCGCACTTGTTCATGCCATCAAGTCATTTCTTTGGGATAAGTTGATACTTTGCTGAGGTAGATTATGGTAGTTTGTATTCATACCAGGAACTTGATATTACCTTCTGGAGAGAGAATACATATGGTACCATAAAGATTTCCACAGGTCTAAGTAGAAAGTAACAAGAGTGATTTGATTGTTGGTGAGAAGCAATTAGGCAGTCAAGTGTTGCTTCGTTATTGATCAGATGTTCTTCTTGCCATGCCATTAAAACTGCATTGTGATACTTTGATTTATAAGAAGTATGTATTTGGTCATCTTAATGCTTCTTCTGCATCTCCATCCACAACTCCCTAAACCTTTGGAATTTCCTAAGTGTTGACAGTGTAAGGATGTGTCTTTTGTTATGTTAATGAGGTGATTTTTAGAATCAGCACTATGATTAGAGGGTTGGAACTTTCAATCCTGCATCCCCTACCTGGAGTTTGAATCAATTGCCAACGGCCAATGTCGTGGCTGTGTAATGAAGACTCCAAAAAATCCCAAGAGGAGGGGGTTTGGAGAGCGTCCAGCTCGTGATCCCGTGGAGATGCTGGGAGAGTGGCACCCTGGGGCAGGCATGGAAGCTCCACACTCCTTCATATCTCGCCCTGTGCATCTCTTTCATCTGGCTCTTCCTGAGTTACGTCCTTTTGACATAAACCAGTGATCCAATAAGTAACATGTTTCTCAGAGTTCTGTGAGACTTTCTAGTAAATTAATAGAACTCAAGGAGGATGTTTGGGAACTTCTGATCATGTAGTCAGTGGGTCAAAAGTAGAGGTGACAACCTGGATTTGGGATTGGTATTCTGAGTTGAAGGGGGTCGTTGGAACCTCCAATCAGTGGAGAGTCATTCAAAAGCACACATAACCTGGGCTTGCCTCCTGGGCTTGCATCTGCCATCTGAAGTTTGTGTGTGTACATGTGTGTGTGCACTTGTGTGTGCATTGAGGTGGAGGCAGACTTGTAGGGCTAAACCTTTGGAGTCTGATGCTATCTGCCAGTAAACAGTGTCAGAATTGAGTTGAATTCTCAGATAATTTGCTAGTATCCTGAGAATTGTTTGTTGGTGTGGGGACCGTGCCCCCCACATAGAAATTAAGTCTGGGAAACCAGTTTATCCATGTTCAGAAACAAAGCAAAAGCAGAGAACGAGCAACTTTGCAAGGAGAATGCCCCCAAAGAATCCTGATGAAGTGTGTTTAAAATAATGGGAACGAAGCTTTAAAAAGTAACTCCAGATGCTCTGAGATGATGGTTTGATGCCGATTCCATCAACTCAGGCATTTGTTAAACAGAAAAGCCAGTTTAGATCTTAGTTGCAAACCTTTGTGCACTTGAAGGGCCTGCATCAAAACAGAGGGAGTTCCAGGTACGTGGCCCAGCCAAGCATGTGTGGGATGCTCCTGGCTGCTTTGTGGTCACTGGGTCTTGTGAAGCTCTCCATACCTGCTGGGAACAGCTGGAGGAGATGGTTTAGGAACCAGATGAAAGCAGTTGGGCTTTTTAAGCTGTGCAGTGGTGATGAGATCTTAACTGCACCAGGAGGCAAAGAGTAAATGGTGATCCAGCAGAGCTGGTGCTGAATTTTCCCATTTTTAAAATGCCCTGTGCATTGTCAGGAATCTTTAAAGGGAAAAAAAAAAACAACCCTTAAAGTCAATCTTGGACAGTTGAGTCTGTTCATCTCCTGGTGGGTGGTTCACTTTCTCCCTCTTGTTCCACTCTCTGCTTGCTCAACCCCATTAAATTCAGTCCATCTTTTTCCCAAACTCAAGGAGTCATGCAACTGGAATATGCAAGTTACAGCTATGACCTTGATTTTTTGCCTTCTAACCAATTTTGTTGCTAGATTTCTTTATTTTATAGTGTTTCCAGAGCATTATATGTTGTTCTTGATACTTATCATAGATTTTCTTTGAGGTTCTGTGAGGTTGTTATATGGCATTACTTTGTTCATTTAACCATTAAGAAACCTACATATAGATGTCTGTACCATAAGTCTGTCAGAGTTGATGTTCTAACACACAGACTTCAGTGCTCAGCATGCTGTGTTGGCTGTGTTCTTGGTCTCTGGAGCCTCTAGATTTAAAATGTCTTGGAGAAGATGGGTGTAAATGAGCACTGCTGAATCCAGTAAGGAATATTTATTTAGGAAAAAATTCTTTGACACCCAGTGGAATTCTAAGATTCCACTTAAACTCTATATGCTCATTTATAACACTGTCCTATTTTAAAAGGAAGCAGTAAGGGAAAGTTAACTTGGGACAAGGAGTTGGTCTATTTCATTCCAGTTTTCTCAGGTTCAGACTTACCCTAGGATATGCCTGAGCTATTGTTACTCTGGTCCACTTACTTAATGTTCAGCTTCCTTCCTAAGTTTTGGTTTCAGGGCTGGTTCTGCTGGAAAACCCAGTGTTTACTTCTCTCATTACCTACTGTGTTTGCCCTGTGCATCACAGATGTCTGGTTCAAAGGGAAGACATTTTGTATTGTGTATTTTTTAAAGTATTCTTTTGAAACACTTTCCAAATATGATTTCTTTTATCTGTGGAAGGAGAGTTAAGACACTATAGATTTAACCCCAAGAAAGAAATACATTCGGGGAGGGGGGAGTCTTAAGGGGGAAGGGCTAAAAACTTCAAACCTCTAAGCAAATATGATTACCAGGCTACATCTAAATCACAGAGCTCTTGGGTTTGTTTCAGACCTCAGAGGGAACATGAAAATTATAGGCAACTCTGCACATATTTTTTGTTGTTTTAGCTCAAATCTACTCTGATAATGAGATGTTTTCTGTTTGGATCCTAGAATCAGTATACAGTGTGTAGTCATGCCCCTCAAAGTACAGTTAAACTCACCTGTGGTGCTTGTTTACAGTGGCGTCATGGGGTGCCACCCCGGTCTACTAAATCGGACTCTGCCTGGGAATCTGCATTGCTGTTTTCCCCAGGTCATTAGAATGCAGTCTTTTGAGAACCGCTGGCCTAGAGAATATGCAGGGATTTTCTGTGACAGAGAAATGGTATTGAGAGGAATGGATTGGGATTTAGGAAGTATTAGAAATAAGAAGAAGAAGCTCAAAGCGGTGGATGCAAAAAGGAGGTTTTTACTTTCATAATTAAACTACTAAAAAAAAAATCCAGTTTTGATTTCCCATGTCTTTTCAATTTGACTTTGCATTAAACTGAGTCTTTAGCAAATGACTCTGTTTTAAATCATGCATAAAGCATTTTTATTAATGAAGAAAATTGTCCTCAGCTAGCTGTGGGACCTTGTGGAAACCATTTAGCCTCTTTTGAGCCTCAGTTTCCTGAGTTCCCTTCCAATCACGTGACTTTGCGTTTTCATCATTTGGTGGGGGGGGGCGGGGGGGCCTCAGGGAGGGGAAAATACTTCCTGGTCTTATGATTGTAGAAGGAAATAAGAGTAGATGAGTAATAAAGACTAATTTCATGGTAGTTCCCTAGTGTTTACATAGTATGATGACTCCAAGTATGTTGTATATCCCCACACATACCATTCATTTTGGCTCATTGTAACTTTATTACAGTGTTTGTGTTGTGTGGGAGGATTTCAAAAGACTCTCCATACATCAGGAGTGGCTATTAAAAATACCTTTTCACAGCTGGTTTTCCAAAAACATGCATTGAGTAATAAATCTTAGTCTTTCTTTCTTTCTTTTGAAGCAACTGCTCCTTTGTTGCTAGGCTGTTGTTAGAGAGGCAAAGCCCTTGTATTGCTTTTCCAAAGAGGTGTTGTATGGGTTAGGATGCTTTGGGCTGCGAGAAACAGAAAATTCACTTCAAAATAACTTCATAAGGAAATCTCTTGTTCCAAGGGCTGGTTAGTTTCTCTGCTCATGGAGTACTCGGGTTATTTCCATGGTCCTGCTCACAACCAGCCTCACTGTGTTGGCTAGATCTTTCCAAGGCCATAAGGTGTCCCATTGCATCCTTGCACATTAATGGTTATCCAGAGACAGAAAAGGCATTTTTTTTTTCCTTTGAGCTTTTTTCTAAGACCTGTGATGATACTTTTCCCAGAGGTTCTCCAACAGACTTCCTATCACATCTC